AAATCCCCTTTTCCGGAACAGTTTTCCGGAAAAAGACTTTTGCCCGAATGGGAGCAGCATAGTTTTTCCAGAAAAGCACTGATGATTTTACATTAGATCCTCAGTGCTTTTCCAGAAATTCAAGCGGCCAGTGTAGACAGCTGGCAAGTTTTTCCGCAAAAGCAGATGATTTTGCGGAAAAACTTGCCAGTCTTGACACAGCCTCAGTGTTCTATGCTGTAATTGAGCTCTAATTTACCCCTGAATGTCTTCTAAGAACCTAGCAAACAGTGGAAGTGCTAGTAATGCTAAGCGTAAACATGTTTCTCATGCTTTATCTACTTATTTCCTTGTGCCAGTACAGTAAATTTGTGTAACACTAACCCTTTGTTATGAAGAGAGCAAATAAGCGTAGGCTTATATAGGATGTATCAGTACAGTCCTACGTTATTAAGCAGCACTGCAAGCACTGTTCCATTTATTCACCTTGGTGAAATAGAAATAGAGAGACCCATTTGCTATAACATGGACCTTTCATGGTTCAGCAAATTCTCCGGTTTGGCACTGGTCAAATCCTGAGGGTGCTGGACTAGGGAAGTTCAACCTATACAAGCGTGGCCAGCGTCCTGTGACATCTACTTGGTCTCACTCTCCGTTACTTCCTCCCTGCCCTACGAACAGCTCATCTCATTGTCCAGTGACAGTATCAGGACCAGTCATCCCTTTCCCCTGCCAGTGCATGAACCTGCTGCACTCTATTGGTTAAAATGAAATGAGTCCACTGGTACGAAAGTAAGGAGTGAGAGAAGTGACGAAGAGATTTCATGGCTGCTATGTTAGGAGGGTAAATCGACACTATAAGCTAGAGGTATGATTCCCAGCTCACAAAGGGTGTGTCTAGACTACACCTCTCTGTCGACAGAGAGATGTAGATTAGGCACATCAAAATTGCTAATGAAGCAGGGATTTACATATCCTGTGCCTCATTAGCATAAACATGGCCACCGCTTTTTTTGAAACGGAGTTTTTTTCAAAACCTGGCAGACTAGATGCTCTTGTGTATTCACAAGGTGCAGGTAGGTTTTTGCTTCAGACAGCTAGCTCATGCCAGCACTGCTGCAGTTTGTGTTAATGTTTCTAACTACTCTTTTTAGCATGGTAGATTGATAAGAGCTTGTGTGTGTATGTCGGAAGCCACGTCTAGACTGCATCCCTCTGTCGACAGAGGGATGCAGTCTAGACGTGGCTTCCGACATACACACACAAGCTCTTATCAATCTACCATGCTAAAAAGAGTAGTTAGAAACATTAACACAAACTGCAGCAGTGCTGGCATGAGCTAGCTGTCTGAAGCAAAAACCTACCTGCACCTTGTGAATACACACTTGGGACAGCTAGCCCATGACTGCGAATGGCACTGCCTAGCTACACTATGGGTGCGTCTAGACTGGCAAGATTTTGCGCAAAAGCAGCTGCTTTTGCACAAGAACTTGCCAGCTGTCTACACTGGCCGCTTGAATTTGCGCAAGAACACTAACTTTGTAATGTACAAAATCAGTGCTTCTTGCGCAAATACTTTCATGCTCCTGCTCGGGAAAAAGCCCTCTTGCACAAGAATACTTGCGCAAGAGGGCCAGTGTAGACAGGGAAGAACTGTTTTGCGCAAAAAAGCCTCGGTGGCTAAAATGGCGATCGGGGCTTTCTTCCGCAAAATTGCGTCTCGACTGGCCACGGATGCTTTTGTGCAAAAGCACTTTTTGCGCAAAAGCATCTGTGCCAATCTAGACACACTTTTGCAGAAATACTTTTAACGGGAAAACTTTTCCGTTAAAAGTATTTCTGCAAAATCATGCCCGTCTAGACGCAGCCTATTATTTTTAGCATGCTAGATTGAGGAGATTTAGTACAAGTGTGTCTATGAGAGGTAGGAAACATACCCCTTGCTCATAGTGTAGATGTAGCCTTTGGGAGAGCTAGGTATTTATTATTAATTATCATTACTACAACTTATGTGCCATCTACAGCTGGCTTCCACATGAGATCATCTTCATCAAAACCAGTGGGAGAATTTTATTGGAAACTAATTCATTCCTTCTCAATAATAACTTATAAGTGAATAATATTCACACGGAGCTGATAAACCATAATTCAATTGTCATGCATGGAGCATCAGTGTACCACAGTGAACATCTGCACGCAACATGCCTCGATACTACATTGCAATTTGTGAAAGTACAAAGTTCTGGAGAAACTCTTTAGGAAATGACACAAAACAAACAGTCTTCTGACCCCTTCAAATGACAGCTCTTCCCCTAGCTAGGTGAAAGGCGAGTTATGCCAAATGACAGCTCTACATATGGGCCTCAGAACTTCCGGAAGGTATCTGCATAGAGCCTGTTTGAGCTTGTATCTATGAGCTTGGGGGTTTAATTAATTATCATTTAGCACTTACTCTCTTATTACTTGACTGCTCCATCTACTGTAGATGCCAATGAAACCATTTCCAGCTCTCTGTAACACTGCAGATACTTGGCTTCCAGGATGTGATGAGTATGTTAGTATGTTTATATTTGCATATTTGAATACTGCATATTCTTCACTCATTTTCTTTCCTGCACTCTTCCTTTACTGGGAATCTCAGAGGCAGTGTTCCCAGACAGCTGTGTTCTCTTGTAACTGTGGTGAATCTCTTATGATGGACTTTATTCACATTTGAGTACCCCCATGGGACTTGGAGGCAGCTGATTTCCCTCTCTACCATGCCAAATCTTGGCACTTCAGGCTAAGAGGTTAAAACAAAAATTCAACAAGATGACATCTGGGCTGAAAGCAAAAAGCACAATTTTGGCCTCAGCTGGCCAAATGCACTCTGTATGAAATGGAATCCAAGACACACACAAAGAGGAAAACAGCACCAGAGCATCTCCTGCTGCAAAGGACAAAGGCTCTGCACAGCCCTCATGGAAATGAGATATCTGTATCATGGAAAACATCTCTTTCTGCTAAAGATGATGTAAAGGCTGAAATCCTGGGAAAATAAAGCCTGTCTCCTAAGAAACCCTGCGAGAACTGAAACTAAACGAGCAGAAAACACAAAACAGGAAAAGATAAAAGATACTCAAATTCTATGAGACAGAAGTGGTCAACCACTGCAAACTAAACAGTATTTCCAGACTGATCAAAAAGCAGCATCTTCTACTGATACATCGGCTGGGAGTCCATTAACATGTCATGCCTAAAAGCGTTCCCCACGAAAAACAAGCTAGCATCAAAGATGCTATAGAGAAGGGCTGTATGTCTAAACCCCAAGGAAAAATGGGTGGCACATTTTGTTTGCATAGAAGTATGCTCAAAAAGTTATACAAAGGAAATAGCAAAGATAGAATTCACTTTCCTTTGTCTATGCTGTGTAAACAGTGCCCACTTCTATACAGCACAGATGATAACTTGTGAGATGTTTTTGTGCATGATCACCAGAAAATAATACATGGGATATTGAAATTAATGTCTGAAAGCACCAGAACTAAATTCATGATCATGCTCACCAAACAGTATTAACGGCAGAGACCTGACCATAGATATAATGGATTTAATCTGTAAGTAATATGTGTATGTCACAAAGAGAGCAGCTTGAGCTTCAAACAAGGAATGCTGACTGCACAGAGGATCTGGTCACAGGGCAACATAAAATGGCTGGCTGTCCAGCATAATTAACAAGAGGTCAGAGTCAGGAAGCCAGGATGGGGGGGGGGGGGGGGGGGGGGAGAGGGGAGGAAGCAGCTTTTCTGCAGGTGCAGAAAAGCTGCAGATGAAAACTGTCATCTTCTTTCTTTACTTGCTGCTTTTGGTTTATTATTGCTAGAGGGGTCAGATTTGGAATGTTTGGGCCCACTTTTTGTTTCTTGTGCTGTCCACTCTGATTCACCAAGATTTCAGCTGACAGCACCCAATTTTAGAGACAAATGTAGCTTTCTGCACATTCCTCACTGCCAGCTCTAAAGCTGATCTTATACAGACTATAAGTGCTTCATAAAGAGAATGTGAGACAGAAAATAGAAGATTGTCAATTGCATAGCAATAGCACACAGTACCGTCTTCCTCACAGAACACACGGTTCTCAAACTTTTTAGGCTGTGGACCTCTTTCCAAATAATGTAGTCTATTTCAGACCTCATCAGACCCAGATAGGGTTATAACATACCTATAATTAGATTGCCAAGTCTTACTAAATAAAAATGCATTGTTGGACATTACAGGAATTCTCTTCTGTACCCCCTGATGAGAGTTCACATATCCCAGTTTGCAAACCACTAGCAAATAGAAAGGAAGGCAAAGTAGCCTTGTGGTTAGGGCACAGGGCTATCTGTAACATAAGGATCCTTGAACAGTAGGTGCCTCAGAATTTTTGCAAATAAAGGACCCGCTCTATAGAACCTCAGTGGTGCCTGGAACTACCTGTCAGCTGTGAAAGATATCTCTGTCAAATTCCAAACCACCTCCCACAGCTGCGTCAGCTCCATGACATGAAATTTATTTCTGATTGAATTTCAGTTCTGACAGTAGATGCAGGGAGCTGGTTATGTCCAGACTTCTCATGACATGTGTTTTCATGTTTTCTTTCCAGACGCTTCAGGGTGATCACAACAAAGGGACAGTAGGAAGCTCAGTGCCTAACCAGTGAAGCCAATTGTTTGTATTTACCTGTTGTTAATAATACTGGGATATTATGAAACATCAGACATGACCAGGCCCCAAATCTTTCTGGTTGACACACATGCATTATTTTTCACAATTCAACTTTAAAGACAGATGGTATTCCAGAGGGAAGGGGTCATGAGACCCTAATGTTTGAGTGCTTCAAGGTATTGTGCCAGAATATGAAAAACTGATGAAAAAGTAGCATAAAGTAGGTATAAAGATCAGATTGCAGGGAACCTGCTGCATGTAGTGTGGAATAAGTGAGTTCAAGACACTGGCACCGTCTGATGAGGAGAAATGTGAGGGCAAGGAGATGTACTCACCTCTGATTCTGACACTTCCATAGGTTTCTCATTCAGGGCCACACTTTCAGTCAGCACCGCTCCATTGTACTTGCTGCAGATATCCTCATCTGAGTAGCGCAACCCACCTGGGCTTGGGCGAGGAGGGGACCTGGGTGAACGTCCAGAGAAAGGGTATGCACATTATATAATGGGTGCTCTACATGTCCTACAATCCTTTTAATATCTGGATACAATATATCTATCAGTTCCCACCCTCCTCTGGACTCCATGAACTCAGACTCATTACCTCCATCTTCTAATGAGAAACTTACTGTTCCACTCCAGGTTAGATCTTGCTTATCTTTGATCATAGTATCTACCATCAGGGGATGAGGTCTCATAGTGAGGCAGAGGCTTAGCTATTAGCCCACAGTTTTCACCATACCCTGCAAACTGAGCCTGGCCCCCAATCTCCTTTGCTTCTCCTACGGTAGGTGTAAAGCCAGCAATAACTGAATGCTATAGTCAACACTGAGACAAAGAGGGTCCATCATCCTACCTTGTCCCATTCTTCTTGGAGAAAGTGTTCTTGACATTGAGGTGTCGGCTGTTCAGTTCCAGGGCCGCAAAGCCTCCATTATCCAATGTGACTGACTCTTCCACATTCGAGATGTTTTTACCTTAAGTGAAACAAGGAAACAATCAGCCAAGACAAAGGCACTGTCCAACCAATTACATGCCTAGTTATAACCTAAAGAACTTCTTCCAACACATGTCAAACCTCATCTTTCCTTTTATGGCTACTTTTGTATCCTTGCTTTCCGTAATGTTCTCTCCCTTCTTCATAGTGGTAGAATAACTCAGCAAGGAGTAGGAGAGAAAAGGAGACAAATCAGCAATGCAGTGTACACCAGGAAAAGGAGGAAGAGAGGGAGATTGACTGAAGGGGAAAAGGAAAAGATAAAAGAGGAGGGAAGTGAAAGGGGGAGACAAATGGGAAGATAAAGAAGTGAAGGAACGAGAGCACAGAAAGAGAGAAAGGCTGCGTGGACAGTGAAAGAGAAAACGGTTTGGAGCTGCAATGGAAGGGAAGGATGATAAGTCAATGAGAAATTACAGGATAGGAGAAATCATAGAATCATACAAATGTAGGGCTGGAAGGGACCTCAAGAAGTCACCAGGACCACACCCCTATGCCGAGGCAGGAGCAATTGAACCTAGACTGTCCCTGACAGGTGTGCTTAAATAAAGGGGGTTCCACAAGCTTCCTTGGAAGCCTATTCTAGAGCTAAGAAAGTTAGAAAGTTTTCCCTAACATCTAACCCTACGCCTCCCTTGCTGACAATTAAGCTAATTACTTTGTGTCCTACCTGAAGTGGACACAGAAACCAAATGATCACAGTGCTTATTTACAACAGCCCTTAACATATTTACCAGGTCCCCACACAGACTTCTTTTCTCAAGGTTAAACATGACCCATTTTTTTAACTTTTCTCCCCATTTTCTAAATCTTTATAATTTTTGTTGCTCTCCTCTGAAGTCTCTCCTGTTGGTCCACATCTTTCCTGAAGTGTGACTCCTGCAATTGGACACACTGAGCCGGCTGAGGCTACACCAGTGCCAAACACAAGGGGTATGTCTACACTATCACCCTAGTTCGAACTAGGGTGGTTAATGTAGTCATACGAACTTGCAAATGAAGCCCGGGGTTTGAGCACGAACTAGATAGTTCGGATTAGGCTTCCTATTCCGAACTATCTGTACGCCTCATGGAACGAGGTGTACAGATAGTTCAGAATAGGAAGCCTAGTCCGAACTATCTAGTTCGTGCCGCGTGTAGCCGTGGGCATGGAGTCCGCAATAGTGGACATTTAAAAATGGCGGCGCCCAGCAACATGCAAATGAAGCCCGGGAAATTCAAATCCTGGGCTTCATTTTCAAGTTCGTATGACTACATTAACCACCCTAGTTCGAACTAGGGTGATAGTGTAGACATACCCTAGGTGACAATTACCTTCCTCGTCTTACATATGACACTCCTGTTAATAATACCCTCTAGGTTGATATTAGCCTTTTTTGCAATGAATCACACTGTTGTTCATATGCAATTTGTGATCCACTATAACCACTCCTTACTAGCAGTACAACCACTTTCCAGTTGTTCCCCATTTTGTAGTCATGCATTTGGTTTTTCCTTCTTAAGTACAGTACTTTGCACTTATCTTTATTGAATTGCATCTTGTTGAAATTGAGATCAATTCTCCAATTTGTCAAGGTAAATTTGAATTCTGTCCTTCAAATTGCTTGCTACCTTTCTCAGGGTGGTGTCATCTGCAAGTTTTAAGAGCACACGCCATACTCCTTTATCCAACACATCAATTTAAATACTGAATAGTACTAGACCCAGTACTGACCTGTGCAGGACCTCACTAGATACCCCCTTCTAGTCTGACAGCAAACCTTTGTTAACTACACTTTCAATCGGTTGTGCATGCACCTTAGAGTAAATTCATCTACACTGCACTGTGCACTTCCCTAGTTTGTTTATGACAACATCATGTGGGACTATGTCAAATGCCTTACTAAAATCAAGGCATATCCATATCCATATCCACTAGAGGGAGGAGGGGAGATTTCCATACCAAAGAAGGAAATTAGGTGTGTTTGGCATGGTTTGATCTTGATAATTTATTTTGGGTATTCTTTATAACCCTATTATCCTTTAGGATTGTTTAGTAATTTGTTCCACTGTCTGTCCAGGTATCTAGGTTAGCCCGAGTGATCTATCATTCTCCAGGTTCTCTTTGCTTCCCCTTTAAAGATAATACTATGTTCTGGTCATCAGGAACCTCATCCATATTCCATGAGCTACCAAAGTTCATTGATAACAGTTCCAAGATAGCTTCAGCTAGTTCTTTAAGTACTCTATGACAAATTTCATCAGGTCCTTGAATATTTGACTTGAATACATCTAACTCGGCTAAATATTCATTAACCTTTTATTTCCTTCCTTTGACTTATCTTCCTTCCCCTTTGTTGTTAATATGAATTGTAATAAATATCTGGTCACCGTTAACCTTTTCAATGAGGGCTGAAGCAAAACAGTTATTAACCACTTCTTGATGTAAATCATTATTATTTCTACTTCCCCAGTAAGCAGAGGTCCGATGCTTTCCTTTGTCCTTCTTTCCTTCCTAATGTATTAAAGAACCTCTCATTAAGCCCTTATGTCTCTTGCTAGTGGTAACTCTTTTTTGGGTTTTAGCCTCTCTCATTTTGTCCATACATGCTTGTGCTGTTCTTCTGCTCTCCTCCTTAGCAATTTGTACACGTCCCCTCTGTTTGTATGATTCCTTTTTGATTTTTAGGTCATTAAAGAGCTCTTGATGGAAGTAGAGAACAAAGACAAAAAACAGGGAGGGGGGAGAGAGAGAAGACACAGCAAGAGATTTTCTCTTATGCTCTGAGTGTGTAATCCCATGTGTCTGAGCTCGGCTGGCGGCTTGGGCAAAAAGGCTGGTGTCATATTGCCAGGCTGCTGTAGACAGGTATTTTATCCTCAGCTTCAATTACAGTGTTACATTAAGGCTCAGTGGGTGCAGGTCAGAATTGTCTTTTCATGCCTGTCCTCCAAATGTAGAGCACAAATAGGAAGATGAGAGGTTTCCTATGTGCCGTGCATAAGAATCTGTAATAGTATTAGCTTGGTAAATACCATGGCAGTCAAACATTTTAAATCCCATGGGAATAAAATCTGATTTACTAACATTTGTTAGACGTGAATGTATACAGAAAAAATAAATCTTTTTTGGGGGCTGAACTACTGAAAGCTGCTGGGGACGCAAGAGGCTCTTTCAATACCCCCGTGTTCTATTAATCCCTCAGCATCAAGATTGCTGGGACTTCCACTGCCCGTTCCTGTTGATTAGTCTGGTTAGCATCAGAGAATCATCATAGATTTCTCCTGGGTTTAGCGAGTCTATTGGAGAAACATGCACAATAAAACATTTCCAGGGTTCAAGTTACTAAAAGGTGGGCAAGGCAAAAATGATATTAAAAGCGCCACAGTCAGAGATCTGGGATTCAAAGGAAGAATATTTAAACACTTCTAATGATGGGCCATCTGCTCCTGTTTTCTGTGAGGAAGGAGACTGTCAAAAAAATCACTCCTAAAGGCAAATCAAATGGTCTGGGGCTCAGATTATACTATGGTGCCTTAAAGTCCAGCAATTTTGGTTAGCCATTAGACTCCACTGCCATGACAAGCGTAGCACTAAGGAATAGATGAGAGACATGGGGTGTCCTCCTACACCAGTGCTTCTCAAACTTTTTGGACTATGGTCCACCCCGCTGAACGCAAGCCTTTCCATGGACTATTAGCCAACCACTCATGATGATGGGTGCAGGAGTGGGAGAGTGTAGGAACAGGCTGGGGAAGAGGGGGTCTGGCCAGAATGTTGAGTGTAGGAGCAGGGTGGGGGATCTGCTGAAGGTGTGTGTGTGGGGGGGGTCTCAGTACGAGGGATGTGTGAAGGACCTGGGGGTACAGGGTCTGGGCATGAGGGAGATGGAGGAGGTGCTTACCTGGCTGTAGGCCCCTTGCTACTCCCAGGCACTGCCCCCTGCTGCTCCCATTGGCCAGAATTCTGGCCAATGGGAATAACGGGGAAAGCCTCCAGGCAAGCAGTTTCTTGTGCGGTCATTTCCCCAGCTGGGAGATGGGAGAGTGGCAATGCATGGAGCTGCTTCCTGTCCCCCGCAAGCTGGATCCAGCCTGGGAGGCTCGGGGGAAGGGCAAGTTTCAAGCCTACGGCCCATTTGCAAGATGGCTGTGGACCACTAGTGATCCACAGACCTTACTTTGAGAACCACTACCCTACACCATTTATCAATCATCTATCGGCTGTTATCTACCCCCAACACCAGCTACGCTTTGTAAATACTCCCCCCAATAACTATTTATATGGGGAATACTCATGGAGTAGCACAAGTTGTTTCTACCAAATTAGAGATTAAAGAAATCTGATTGGTTGCCCAACCCAAAGAAATACATAGTGTGAGAGATTTCACACTGCTGGAGTCACTGGCTCAAATGGAAAACGCGCATCCATAGCACAGGAGGGATTAAAATGGAGCCACCATCTCACCTGTGCTGCAGTTCTTGTATTTCTTGCTCTGGCCATGTAGGACCAAAGCAAACACCACTAACAGGATGAGGATGAGACTGGACAGAGCCATCACTAGCAGGAACCACCACTCTTCATAGAAAGGGGTTTCCATTTGTGCTAGAGAGAGAGAATAAACAAAGGTTTAGGATTCCTCCACCTCTTAACAATTCCTACACATGCCTTCCCTAAGTCCCGCTGGCATCTCCCTGCCTTTTTTCCTTTGAAATCTGTACCCCTGGTAGCGCTTAAGAAAGGGATGGGCTAAGAAGTTGGGTTAATATTAGAGCAAGGTGCTGTGCCTATTTCTCCCTCACAGCGATCCCAATGTGCACAGGTCTTCCTGACTTCTGATACTTCAGTCCTGGAACAAAAAAGAGCTCTACTGACTCACCCCAAATGCCCCTTCACCTGGCGAGTTGGGCCTTCCCAGAACAGCATCCAACAGCACTCACAAGAGATACAGTTGGTGCCTGTGGGTAATGCCCAACCGGCCTCCAGTGCCAGTGCACCTCAACCCAAACTTTCAACATCCCTACCCCTCACAGGCTGTCAGTGGAACACATCCAGACAAACAGCACCCCTGCTAGTCTGAGAGCTGGGTTCTGTTCCTAGCTCTGCCCCAGATTCTGCCTGATCCAGCTTAACCCCACTCATGCCTCAGTTTCCCCATCTGAAAAAAACAGGCATAATAATATTTTCTTCTTCTTTATAAAGTTCTTTAAGCCCCTTGGTTAAAAGTGGGAAGTGCTATTATTATTAATTTTTCCTGTCATTCCCTTTTTCTGGGCATCTCAGCCACAAGGGGAAGCATTTTCATTGGGGCAGAGACTATCAATTGTGCATAACTCAGTTGTAGTTAGTGAGACGGAGGACTACCTGCCAGGAATGGCTGATGCCAGGACAACTATTTCCCTTGGGATCAAACCCATAGTGGGACCCAGCCACTGAGTCACACCCCTCTCCTTGCTTTCTTACAGCTGGGAAGAGCACTTCACTACCCAGATTCCCTGGATCTAAACTCAGTCATGCTATGGTCCCTCTTGTGTGGACCCTGATTCATCTCAGGGCATCGGGAATTCTGTAGCAGAAGAAAGCAGTTGCCATCTCTTTTGGGAGGCCAGCACAGGCCAACGAAACCAAAAAGACAAGTAGTGCAGGCCAGGCTGTGGTTTGAAGGAACCATCCATCTGTGACAGCTGACAGCCTGTAATGATTTACAGCTTTTAAGCCTGTGAGTCTCAGCAGAAACCTCTTTCTTCCTTCCATGCTACAATTTGAGATAAACTTTAGAGCATCAAAAGAAGTGATTTAAATAGTTCTGCTCAAGTGGAGAACACAGAGGCAGAAAACAACTGCTAATGGCAAGAGAGGAGGGGCTGACATGTTTCAAGCTACAGAACAACTGATGTCACATTCCCATCCCAGCATCTCCTCCCCCCCCTTTCCCCTCCCCTCACATTTGAGGAAGTGAGTTGTAACTCACGAAAACTTATGCTCTAAAGCCCTAAAAACTGTGTTAGTCTTTAATGTGCCACCAAACACGGTGTTGTTTTTCTGAAACAGACTATCCCTCTGAAACCCAATTACAAAATGTTCCTTTAGATTTTGTTACAGCCTTTGTGAAACTACAGAAAGGAGAAACACTCCAATATGTGAAGTGGTTAGTGGCTCAGGGACAAAGAAGGGGATGGACACAACAGCAATGGCAACTGTAGCATTTACTTCCCCTTTTGCAAATGTTAAGGGGTATTTGTGGTCTTTGTCCCCATAAGCAAAGAGTTAAGTCCCACTTCAGATACTGGTACTGCCAGGCCATCAGGAATCTCCAGACTTCTGAATCACAGAGATGTTTTAACAGTTCACCCAGAAGCAACTTGGCATGAGGAGGCCAGGATAAGGATACACCTGTGCACGGCCTTAGCAGCTTCTCCTGCTTCAGCAACAGGGCTACAACTCTTGCTGCAGGGATACCAAGGGAACACAAAGACGTCAGCCTAGTTTACATCTCAAAGTACCATCACCCTCTTCGTTGCCAGTCTTGAGTCCTGAATCCAAAGAGATTTCTGAAGGATGTTTAGACCAGATCTCTACACACAGGGGAAAACCACAACAGAGTTGGCAGGAAGGTGTGTGAATAACATCAGCAGTCCAGTCCATACAGACTTAGGGCCAGATGGTGGAAGTCTGTCCATTGATTTGACTGGGATTTGGGTAGGGCCCCTACCCAAATTTGAATTGTTAGCAGGAGGGGATGCTGCATACTCTGTCAGTAAATTGCCCCAGCACATTTTTGAGAACAATATCTTCAGAATAATACAGAAATGATCTACTCCAGGAGACTTGGGAGAGAATGGTCCCAAGTGAAGAGAAGGAACGGAAAAGGGATGGAGGAGGAGGAAAAGCAAACAAATCACAGACTGCATAGTTACGTTGCAATACATGCTAATTTACATGCATAACCCACATTAACTCCTATAGGAGTTTCTTCCACATAGTATTATGCACTTCTTCTGTCTAAATGGCTTCCCCTCAAGAGAAATGCCCATTGTAAAATCAGCATTTGACTCATCATTGCATTATTCTGGTTTTAGCTTGATTGCAATGGGGTTTCATGGCATAAAGTGAAGTAGCACAGACAGTTTGGAGCCAAGCTCTTGAGGCTGTAACAGATATTTTTTCTCTCTCTCTCCTCTTTCCCCACAAAGGAAGCCCAGCGGAGAAAGTATAATACATAACGAAGGATTACCTGACACCGCTGCAGATGGGGTGCTTGGTTCTCCATAGCCCAACTCATTTACAGCTACCACTCGGAATTCATAGCTCACCCCCTGTTTTAGCTTGTCCAGACTGACTGTGTAGGAGGTAGCACTGCGGGGGATGTCCTTCACAAACATATCCCACAATCCTTCATCTAGGAAAGCAGGAAAACACAGAGCATCATTAGCATTATTGCTGCGCACTCTTTCTCCGGAGTTGCTATTAATCATGGGTTTCAACATGAGGCAATTTCCATGCATACCTGTGTCCAACACAGCAAGTAAATCAAACTAATGGGATAGGCTATTGAGCCAGGTTTCTAGGTTGTGACTGCTTTTACATTATGTCAGGATCCAAATAGGAAACCTTCACATAGGTGAATCTTACAGATAGGACTTTGAGTCCTCCCTGTTCTGTACCCCAGATGTGCGCAATTAGCTAATCTAGATAATCAGTAGCCATACTAATAGTTGTATTGATCACCACCCAGCGTTTGCATCACACTGTTTTCCTATTACATAGATTGTAGTCTCCTATCTACTTGTAGCACAGAGAAAAGAGGCCATCTGCAACAAGATGGTTACTGTCAGTGGTAGGAATAAAATTACAATTGCGATTAAAATCTCTGACCAACAATGTTAAAGTTGGGATGCTGACATCAGGCTGAGTTGCCTAGTTTGTATTTTCCAGAGACGACCATCAAACCTATCACTCCCACTGACATCCCACTGATGGAATAAAGGCACTTTTGTGCGTGGAAGAGGCATGCTTATTGCCACAAGGGCATTCAGGCTGCATTGCTGAGGACAACGGGTCAGATCCTCCATAGACGTTAACTGGCCTGGCTCCAAGGATCTGGTCCAATGACTATTAGCTTTATTTTCATTTTTCTCCCAGTAGGTCTTAATGGCAATATAAAAATAAAAAGACGAAGTCTGAACAAATGCTGTAAGTGTTACAGTGTATAAGATGCTGGCAGTGGAAGAAAGCTTTTTGCACTGAGAGTCTATCACGTCCGTAATTCCTTTTGACTAGAGATATCACCAGGATAAAAGAAAAGCAAAATCATCATCATCATCATTGGCATCATGTTCTAGTCTTGCAACGTGAGGGGGCCCTAGCACAAGTCCATTGTAGTTATTCCAGAATTACACCAGTGTAAATGAAAGTAGAATTTGGCCCTTAGAGTATTCGTTTGCAACAGGAAATAATAGGTAGAACTGAACGATTAATACTGTAGGTGCATTTCTATGTGAATGTTTTAATTTTTGATATTAGTAAATACTAATTTGTAATGCACTGCATGTCTCACATATTGCACAATGACTGACAACCCCCGAACTGCATCTGTTCTGATCAAGATGATTGGCAGTCCCTAGTGGACCGAACAAGGAGGCTGAAAATGTTGTTATGCTGTCCACATTCGAGAAATACTAGCAAACACTAAAATAGGTAATTTTTCTGTCATGTTTAAAATTCAGACCAATGCATTATTCACCAGCATTTTCAGAGTTTAATGAAGTTATCATAATGTACCATTGTTATAAATTACTTTTGTTACAATGTGTATAAAACATTGACATCCTATATATAGGGCAGTGTAAAGCTAGATTATTTTCACCATGCAAAGCTAACAATGTAATAAAACAAGGTTGAAATTTTTTTTTTTACTAGAAGTGGGTGAAGTGTGGATACGTTTTTGAAGAGTGTTTGTTGAAATTACTGACACTAGATCCTGCATCTGATTCTATAAAATACTGTCATAATTGCTAAAACTAACGGAGTTTTTATAAGCACATTTGTAAATATTGATACAGAATTTCAGCACAGTGTGATTTGTTTTAAAAGCAATTCATTTACACCAAGACTTGCATAGGTGGAGGGAAAAATAACGGAATAAATAATGATTTTTCCAAGACTAATTTCAACAAACCTACCACACTCTTGCTGTTGTTCTTAAAATAGCCCATGAAATCATTTGTATAGACAGTGTGCTAAATTCAGCAAAGCTGCTGCAGGGAGGTGCAAGTCAACCGCATAGTGCAGCCCACATCCAAGGGAAATTAGCCCCCTCATGACTAATGGTGTCATTTCTGCCTCTGTCTTGCCCAGGGGCCATGCTGCGGAGGGTGGCAGAGAGAAGGCACAGCTGGAGTTTGTATCAGGTTATCTATGGAAGTCTGAAGAAATGCCCACCAGCAGAGAATCAGGGGAATTCCAGCTGCTCTGACCACTTCCACTTTTGGCTCTCACACAGTTCCAATCCTAAGGGGACGGCCTTCTAAAGTTGGGCCAAAATGGAGCCATTTAGCTCACATCCCCCCTTGCAAACTTCGGGGACTCGAAGGAAATGGAACTCAGATTCAAACTACTCTCAGTTGGGGTTCCTAACCAATTGGTGGCCCCGGACAAAAATCTGTCAAGCAAAAAAATAAAAAATAAATTAAAAAAGGGGGGAGGTCGGGGAGTAACCAGGGAAACTTGGGGGAAGGATTTGGGAGGTCGGGACGAAATAGGGTGCCCCTAAGACTGGCTTTCAGAAAGCCAAATACCCTCGAACTGTCCCCATCCCTGCAGCCCTGCCCGGCCTCCAAGGTCCCTAATCCACTCGCTTGTTTTCACCAGGTTGGGACAAAGGGTTTTTGGGTGGCTGTGGGCAGAGAGGGGGGTACAGGCTCTGGGATGGAGCCAGAAATGAGAGGTTCAGGGTGCGGGAGAGACTCCGGATGGGGGCAGGGGGTTGGAGTGCAGGCTCTGAGGTGGGGCCAGAGATGAGGAGTTTGGGGTGCAGGAAGGAGCTCAGGGCCAGGACAGAAGGCTCCTAGGACAGGTGGGCAATAATTCTTGATGAGAGCCACACCAAGAATTTGATAAATGGTCAAGGGATGCTCTCTTCCATGATATTAATGGAGGAGATGTGGGGTCTGAGATGGAGGTTAGGTGCAGAAGGGAGCTGGGGGTAGAGCATTGGGGTACAGAAGGGGATCTGGAGTCTGGGAGGGAGTTTAAGTGAAGGAGGAACCTGGGGCAGGGGCTGGGGCGCAGGAAAGGATTCTGACCTGAAGGAGGGGGTTCAGGGTATGGGAAGGAGCTGTAACCCAGGAGGTGCAGAGGTTTGGGTTGTGACCTGGGGCAGAAGTTCAGGAGGGGGAGCAAAGAGTTGGGGGAAGGAGGTTGGGGTTCCAGGTTCAGGCTCTAGCTGGGAGATGCTTACTTTGGCAGTTCCTGTCCAGCAGCCCTGCAGGAACCTTGGGTAGGCTCCCTCCCTGCCTGCTGCATCCCTGCATGCCACTCAGAACAGCTAGCTGCAGGGGCCATGTGCTTCTCTGTATGCTGCATGTCCCTCGGCAGGGGGGGGGG